TGAAACTTGCGCAGAAAAGGGTGATTATTTTTGGTGTAGATTCCATATACGCAAGACCCAACGCCAGATTTATGACCGTGTGAGACTGCCCTGTTTTTTTGACAGGTCAGCACGGAACTATGTTTTTTCCCTAGTGTCTAGACTCACAGCAGCACTCATCTCTCTTGAACTTTAGAAGTGAGTGAATGAATGAACGAATGAATATTAATATCTCCGCCTCAGCGGTGGTTCTCATCATTAGCCCAAAAAGTCAAGTACTGACTCACAGGGCTCTCAAGTACGCAAGATAAAAACTAAAATGGCCTGTTGTGGTGTGTTTTGCGCACAACCAGCATGCATTGTTAACGCAATGGAAAATTTAGGTATCCGAGCTTTAATTTTGGGAGCGCTAGTAGCGCTTTGGGAGGAGACAGGGGAGAGAAACGGGAGAGACACTGGGGAGACGGGCGAGAAAAGGGGGTACCCGCACTTGCAACACGCTGGGGATGGTTCTACTCGCGCGTCTATGGTCCGAACTCGGTACCATGTACGGTTGTGCTTTTGCTGAGCTGCTGTCAAAGCGCCACGGCCAGAGCTGCACCGGGACAGCACACAGAGGATGTAAGTCACATTCAAGTACGTACAGCAAACAACAGTAAGTGCCTGCTGTCGTAAATCGTGGATCCGCGTAATATTTTCCGCCCTGGTTTATCCTGATGCACACAACACACACACTTATACATTTTGAATAATAAGAGCACTGAAAGTATTTTTTCGGCCTTTCAACCAACCTGTTTCTTTTTTGGAGCCAGTTCTGTTCTGTCTCTGTGCCGTGTGGGCTCCTCAGAACTTTAAACAGTGCGCTGACAGATTAGAAATAACGTAAATACTTTGAATGGTGATAGATCTACAGTACTTTTCTCTGATTACTCACGTGCTACAAGGAAAGGAAAAAAAACACTTGTTTCACGCTGGCTGACATATAAAAAAGTAAAAAGTCACACAGCGCTTGAGTTTGGCGCTGAAGAAGACAGCCAATCACTGCAAAGAGAGGAACAGGTCACGTGCTGCCGCTGCTGCCGCTGCTCTGGAGGCGAGGAGGAGGCGCGGCGTATGCACAAACTGAAGACATGTGTCCCGGACCGTCCGGGTCCCGGGACATTGTGTCATTTTGGTAGGGACTTTTTAGTCCTCTCCAATTATTGGTGGGGACATGTCCCCATGGTCCCCACGCAAACCTACGCCCATGATTTTGACTATAGTTTGTTCATTGCTATTCACCCGTTGTCCCATTGTCTGTTTCATGGTACGATGACGGGATCTCTGAGCCTGGCCTCCTCCATCTACACCTGTGGACTGCCCCGCCCGACCCGCCTGGGAGTGCTTCAGTCCTGCACCGGACCTGTCCACGTTCAGCGGCCACTGGTCCACGTTCTGTAGCTAGCTTAGGTCCTAGATCATTAGCCTGTCCGTCCGGAGGAGCGGATCCCTTTCTCATATGGGTCTCCCTCCCTGTGGGTTTCCCTAGTTCTCCTCCAAGGTTTCTCACGTTTTCCCACTGGGTTTTTTAAGAGTTTTTCCTTGTCGATGCAGGAGGGTCTTGTTGGACAGTTAGTGTCAACAAAATCAGGAACAGTTCTCTGGAAATTGTAAGACAGGCTTCTAATCTAGGTTAAATACTGTTCTGTTAAGATGTGCATGTGCCTTCATAACTGAAGGGTTGTTTTATCTTGTTTTGTTTTTCACCTTATGTGAACTGTGCCATTCAAATAATAAACTTACTTAATTTCTTAGTCCTTAATCAGAATCAGAATCAGAATTGCTCTCTGTGACAATGATAATAAATTGAACCTTAAATCTTGAGTCTGTCCTGGAGCAGAGCAGGGATGATGGTGTTGATAACAGATCTGAAGTCTGAAAGAGTCTAGCATTGGTTCCTGGGAGTCCAGATGCTGCAGGATGAAGTGGAAAACTTGGTGGACGGGCCTGAAGCCCTGTTTGCTCTGTAGGCCGAGAGAGTCCGGGGTCTATTAGTGGAAGACTTGTGCCACATGTTTGCTGATGAAGTGCAGAGATCTGGCTCTTTAAAGGAACAGGCATGGTGGACTTGAGACTTGCAGGTTGGGTCATTACTCCATAACTCAAGAACTATGACCCCAAACCAAAAGACAACAAAGTAATAAATGTACTTGTGCTCTCCGCTCTCCTAAATGGGAATATTCTGGATTTTATAAATATCGTACCATGTGATCATTTTTGGGATATACATATCCCCGAAAATGTTCACATTTCTTATGGATCTTGCGTTGAAGCAGAAAGTGTCTCTTTGGTTAGGGCCCTGATCCTTTGTCACCAAACCTGACGACTAAACAAAACAAAATCGATGTTGGAACATACAGCCAAATCTACTTTGCACGGATCATTATTATTGATTCAATGGCTTCACATAAATTCAGGTTTTGGATTGATTTTGTTTATTTGTTTTTAAAGGAGCCAAACCCGTTTCTGCAAGGTTTGATTGTTTAGTACCGCCTCCCAACTCGCTCAGAGACTTCTCATTTCCACTAAGCGGAGCCTTCTAGTTGTATTTGCGATCTGATGCTAACATTAGCATTAGCGCAACTTAAGCTGTACAACAATCACTGATGAAATGGTACAAAAGCAACGCACTGCTAACAAAATGTATCACTGAAAGATTACCGCTAGTTTTGCGTCCGAATGTAGTCCGACCATAGATAGTCCGAGGCGGTCCTGCAGGTCTCTCCCATAGACAAGTCTCTCCAGAGGATACGATGTAAGCTAGCTATGTTCACCCAGGCTTCATTTCTTCTTTGATCATTTTTTCGCTTTAGTTCCCTCTTCTCTTCCTCACTGTTGTGTTGTTTGGGCTGTTTTTCTGTGTCTGCAGTTACAGCAAGAGGAGTTATAGCCAATTCTGCTAACATGTTACTGTGTTTAGCAGCGCTGTAGAGGCTTTCTGTGATTGGAGGAGAACAAGTGTCACGCTAAGTCTCTACTCAGTACTTTTATACGGTCTGAGTTCATACACAAGCTGAATCAATGAGCTCAAGTTTTCAATTAAATTACGGATTATAATACAACTTGTATGTAGTAATAAGCATCTTTATGATCGCATTAGAAAAAAAAAATCGGGAATAGCTTCTTTAAACGTGATCTGACCCATGAGCTTATGCTAATTACCTGAGCTCACTCTCTAAAATCAGCAGGTCAGTCTCTTCAACATTCATTTTTGTATAGCCCTAAATCACAATCCAAGTTGTCGATTTGCCTAAAACAGATCAGAAAATCACACCGTTGTATATATTGTTCTAACAGCTTTTTTCCACAAGCTGTTATCAGTTTAAACAAAGCACTTTATTCTTGCACTTGTATAAAAACTGCATGATCGGATTCACAGTGACTATTGTTTCCTGCACACTGGGGACTTTTGCAAACGTACTCCAATATGGTTTCACTGCAAATGACAAATAAAATGAATCTGAATCCAAGTAACAATAAGCAACACAATACTAATTTATCGGCTTCTTATCATATTTCATTGTTTCGTCAGAAGATGAAGCGAGCAGTTCTCTGAGACCAAACAGACAGAAACATACATGTTGCTCTGTTTGCATGTGGCACCGCCCATCATGGCCTCTGTGTTTCTTTACGCATTGTTCGTCACGTTGAATGGTGAACCCGAACATGGCGGTGTCGGTGGAAGAAAGAAAAGCCGTTATTTGCAGTATTGAAGCAAAGAGCCATCGCTTCCCATCCCCTTCTCCTCCGCTCGCCTCCTGATTCCCATGAAGTATCAGAGGCCCGCAGACAAAGACGCGCTGTTATCCGGCCGCACAGATGGTTTACTGACGCCCAATTTGCTCCAAAAGACAAAAGAAAGACCATAACCGCGAGCAAAAAAAAAAAAAAAAAAAAGTATGACCTCCACCCAGCTCACCCCCCCCTCCCCCCTGGGCCCCACGGGACACACCAGAGCGCGTGCAGCAAGTGTGGCTCCAACATGAGCGCCAAACCGCGGGACGGAGGGAGAGGTTTTGGACAAAGCCTGTAATGTCACCATATAAGCAACATTTGGGATGTAGTTCTAATAACGTTAGTATTGCCGTCTGTGAATGTGAAACTTTCTACAGTATACTCCACAAGTTTAGTCATTTTTGACCAAAGATAAAGTGGAGATTGAGAGTTTATAACAGTGTTTTTCTCTCTGCTCAAACAAAGGAACACAGAGATCTACTTGGATAGACTGTGTATATTGTATTGTGTTTTCTCTTGTACCTATTCTATAAAAAAAAAAAAAAATTGATTTTGAGCTTGAAATAAAGATACATACCAATATCACTATATTTTCTATTGGTCATTTATTTTCCTAAATAATAGATCATGATGTGCGTGTGTCCTTTGAGTGTCTTCTCCTGTTATTTCTATTGTAAAGATGACTGACATTTCCACTGAGGGACAAATAAAGATGGTCTTTTATCTTAACTTGCAAAACTTGCCTATTTAGTTTGGTGAAATGTCAGTATGTTTCATTTCAGTGTTGTCTATGAGTGATTTCTTGTTTGAAAACATTATGCATTGGCGATTTAAACATTAAGAAATTGAAGGGACAAAGCACAACACACATTAATCATATAATGAGATGAAACTGACGCAGACGGTGCATGAGGAAGAGTTTTGCTTTGGACAAATGCTGTAACCTTCATCATGTTCCATTGTTTTCAAGCAAAGCTTCTCTCCGTGCGCAGCAGACGCATCCATCTAATATTGATAAACAACAACTGCTGAAAGCTTGGACGCGGGACGTGAAGAAGGGGTGTCCCACCAGAAGCAGGTTTGCACCTTAGGGCGCAGATGGGACACGCGCGCTGACGCCGAGTGTGACGTGACGTGACGTGCGTTTACACCGTTTGAAAATTGTGTATTTCTTCTTGTGTCTATGTGAAAGTTGGCTGCAGAGTTCAGGCTCCGGGATGCGCGGAGGTCCATAGGCGGGTGTGGTCATGATGAGAGAGGGGGGGAGGGGGGTTGAAGGGGAGGAGGGGGTCGGAAACAGACAGAGCCATCTGGCCCCTGTGGCGCGTGCTGCGCGCGTGGTTCCCCAGAGTGCTGCGGCATGTGACGGCTCTGTCCTGTCGGGGACACGGACGTGAGAAATTAATCCCCAACTGAAGCTGCTTTATTTGATGTTGTTTTATGAAACTTATTGTTTGTTTAGTCTTTGGAAAAGGACCGTTGTCCGTTCACGGCTTACTTTGATGGTAAACTTTAACACCGTCGTTTTCTCACATTGGAAATCTCCAGGCTTTCAGCCTCTATTCTCATTTATAAACTAGGGAATTAGCTGCAGCCATTCCCAAACTCAGTAACACCGAGGCCCCCTTAAAAATCTGACGGGTCTGCGTGGCCCCCCAAAATAATAACCAAGAAGACAACATTAAGAATAGGCTCTTCTGGTTATTTTATTTTGGGGAAAATACAAACATTGTAATACAAAAATGATTACAGTGGATTATTCAAGTCAAATAATGAACACAAATATTTTTATATTACAAACAAAACATTATAAATTTAACATTAAATAATTATATTATTTTTTTATTTTTTTTATGACCTCCCGCGGCCCCCCTGCAGTACCCTCGCGGCCCACCAGGGGGCCGCGGACCCCACTTTGGGAGACACTGAGCTATACAATACATTATTCCTCATTTCCACACAGTACTGTGACATTGATTCCAGAGCAAATAACAATTTTTGAAGAAAGAAAATAATAATTATAATAAATACAGTACCAACAAATGCAGCATAAGATTAAGAGAACCTTTCATTTCTTCACAACAACAACATATGCATTTTTAGATAAAAATATCTCACTCCAGTCCAAGAATATTGAAGTGATCAGTCATTACTCAAAGGGTTCAAATATTCACAGTGATGATGAAAACCATTGCACAACAGCAATGTATTTAAACCATGTCATATAATAATAGTTTTCCTAAAGATAAATATATTATATATAATATGAACAAATGCTCAAATGAATCGCCTATAAATGAGAGAAGTGTTTTATTTGGACATGTCTCATGTTCTGTCCCAGACACCGTCACCACATTTCATATGCAAAACTATTGTTGTGTCCATGAAGCAGATGTTAAGAGGAGCGTGGCTTGGGTTTGTGACGGGGTCTGGTTCTGGACCAGGTTCCCTCAGGTCCAAATCTCTCCACGGAACACAAGGGCGACGCTCACAGGCCAAGGGGTGTACTGCATCTTTCTATTTTTGAAATAAGAGAGTATAAAAACTATAAATAATACCAAATCAAGCTATTTATGAAATCTATTCCATGAGGATCTGAGGCAAACACTCCATATGGTCTCACAATGCTGTACAACAAGTTGGAATAAAGATTCTCCGTCTGTGTCTCACACAGTCTAACGTAAATACTTTTCTTCCATGTTCTAACAGAAAAGCAGCGGATTGTGTCAAATATACAATGATAATGTTATATTTTATTCTAACGTTCATGTCAACTGTTTGGAAAACCATTCAGTCGACCTCAATGCAACACAAAGTCATGGCACATTTTATTCAGTTCAATTCAAGTATTTACAAAGCACATTTAAAACAGCTGTAAAATACCTAAATGCACATAATAAAACAACACATAATAAAACATAAGAAAGCATCTATGGATAAAACAGGTGAACTATTAACGGGAAAGACATGGTAAAAATTAAATGGTTCTAAATCCCTAATCCTACTTTACGCACACATGAACAACGGTTAAAACAGGAAACAAAACGTGGCTTATGCAGGTGAAATAAACTAAAACTAATGTCGGATACATGTTATCGGTAACATTGTTGATAATATGTTGTTGTTTTTGCAGTTTTGGACTTTTACGCACAGTTCGCGTGTGTTTCAGCTGTTTCTTTCCACCACGCTTTGCATCATAGTTGTCAGTCGTGGATTAAAACGAGACAGATGCTTATCTTTTTCAATATGATGCCTTTGTGTCGCTGCTTTTACATTTGTGACTGGTCCAAATGGTTCGAAGTTGGCTTGGGGGCGTAGCTGTGACGCACGGGACCCACGCCGAAGACCTGTATATATACCGCTCGCACCGAGGCACCAGTCACTCCACTCCTCTCCTCTCCTCTCCTCTCAGTCCTGACCTGAGAAATACACAACCTGAGAACCACACACCCTGAGAGACACACAACCATGTCTCCAAAGATGAGCTGTGATGTGCTGCCGGCCTTTGAGCCAAACACTCTCTCGAAGAGGAAAGACGCGCTGGAAATGAGAAAGGTAAGACTCAGCATTGTATGGAGAGCATTGACTTTGTCTTGTAATTTTAGTGTGATTTTGTGTCTTTTTTGTCGTTTGGACGGAAACTAACTGGCTTTTGTCTTTGTGCAGACTCTCAAACCTCTGATGGAAAAAAGAAGGCGCGCTCGAATCAACGACAGCCTCAACCATCTGAAAAACCTCATCCTCCCGCTCACAGGCAGAGATGTAAGTCCAGCCACACGATTTACAAAACCCAGATCAATACGATTTAGGGGAAAAACATACACAAAAAAGACAAAGCAAGTTAATTTGTATAGTACAGTTCATACACAAGGCAAGTCAAAGTGCTTAACAGTACAAAAAATGAAACAATCACACAAGGCATTCAAATGATGAATCACACTGCATAAAAAAGAGTTAAGATATGATCATATGCAACCAAATTAAACTGTTTTGGCCTGGATTTGAACATTTTAAAGTAGAAGCCTGTCTCACATTTTCTGTACTGTTCCAAACATATTTTAATCATGAATGTTTTTGTTCTCCACAGAAAAGCCGTTATTCCAAACTGGAAAAAGCCGATATCCTTGAGATGACTGTGAGATTCCTCAGTGAGATGCCTCCTGCCAACTCCAAAAGTAAGACAGAGAGCTACAAGGAGGGCTACAAAGCGTGTCTGCAGCGCGTCAGCTCCCTGCTCCCCAGGACCAGCCTGGACCAGAGCGCTTGCCAGCGCGTCAATGACTTCGTGCAACAGTCCATGTCCGCCAGCCTCACCCCCACCTGCCTGAACTGCTGCGGCCAAAGCTCCAGGAGCCTGCCCCAGCTCCAGCAGCGGCTCCAGAGCCTCAAGTCCAGCCTGAGCTCCAGATCTCAACCTCATTCCGCGGCCCCAGGGAGCGCGCAGCAGGCGGTGCACGGGCCCATGTGGAGGCCCTGGTAGACGGCTGCAGCAGAAGACTGATGCAGAGATGAGAGAAGCTTTAACCCGCTGTAAATACGGACTGAGCGCGTCTCCGCTCTCTGATGAACGACCTTCATCGTGATCCCGATGTTGAGTATTGTATACTCTTTACGCGCGTCTATGTCCGCTTTTATTTGACAAAGTTAGACAGTCGCTGTTCTTCACTCGCATGTATGTTTCCGTCGTGTATTCAGTCCTCGCCTCGCGGAGGACTGAGTGAGGGCCCTAAACCCGGCCTGTAAGACCCCAGGGGTCATTGTTCTTGATCTGCCAGAGTCCGGCAGGTGCACGTAGACTCAGTGCGTCTCTATGGTATCTCTGATGGGATGAGATCTTTTTGCTATTTTCAGCAAATGTTAATCTATGTTATAATATATGTTATATGTGATTGTAATGCTATTCTCAGCATGCACGGTTTACTTTTGCTATTTTCAGCAAGTCTTGTATATATGTAATAAAAAGTAAATAAACTCGTTAAACGCGGATAACGTTGTCTTCCTTTGTTGCAGTTAGTCTGGCACATATATAACTAAAGAGGTAGTGCTCTTTGTTGAGATGTTCAGCTCTTCTGCAGACACAAACAGCACCACATCGTCATAGAAAATACCCAGAGACATGTGTGTCATCTTGGATTCATTTAGAGTTCTCTGATTTCAAACATAAATGGGGTTAGGAACAGTTGGCTGAGGAGTAGAACAGGTTTTGTGGACAACTGCGCTCCCTGTGGCAGTCTCTTTGAAAGCCTCACAAAGAGCCGGTCTATGGTGACCTCTTGAGGCGAGCGGGAGGACATCTCACAGGTTCACATTTTCCTCCTCTATTGGTCACAACAAAAGCTTCCTCTAAAACATGCCACAGAAAATAAAGGATAAATAAATGAATTCACTCACAAGGGTTAATACATGTGCCTAAAACGGATCTATTCAAATTTGTGTCCCACAAAGAATGTTATTATTCCATCTTCTCTCTTTGAATATTGTTTTTTCTATAGTTGTAATTTGATTTCAATACCTTATTAATACATTCATTTTAATTAGTTACCATTACACCATACATTGCTTAATAAATACCTACAAAAAAGTAAGAAAGTACAGTATATAGGAGGATTTTCCCAAATTTTAGGAAAGAACCGCCCTCTCCACTTTTTGAACAAAACTCTCTGGTCTCATTTGACAAGCACGTATCACAAGAATGATTGACAATTAGGAGGAACAATACTCTTGATGATCCACCCGGAAGTAGAAAATCCTCCTATATACCTTTAATATTTTCAGAAACATCGTACACAAGTCTGACCAGCAGAGGGCAGCACCTGCACAACAAACACCTTTTCATCCTGTTCCAAGCCCTCCATGCCCTCAAAGGGACCACAAACACAGATCCAGGATGTTTCCCTATTTTAGATGATTTGATAAAGCTCATGCCCATATAAGTCCTGTTTCCTGTGTTCCATTTGCACTCTAGCGCACGGACCCTCACAGAAGCAGACTCTCCGGAGAAAGCGGATCACATTGGGACGACCTCGTGTTATCTCTGAACTCTTAAATGCCAGTGGCAACAGTGATGCGCTCAGTCTAGCAGCGAAATGTCAGACTGGAGATGTGATTCTAGGGAGAGAACTGTGTCAACGCAAAGATAGACGCTGTACAAACGGTCATTTATCACATGTCAGAGTTATATTTGAGGGCAATGTTTATTTGAAACGTATGCTGTGGTGAGGGAAAGGGGACTTGAATGAATGAATGAATGCAATTTGTATATTTAAATGTATTTAAGTGTAGCTCTGAATACAGTGTCTCAGTGTCCTTGGCCTTCTCCATAAAAGTAATCTAACAAAACATTACACATTTTCAAAAACCAACATAACACACCATCAGAGAGAAACCACCAGACAGCCACAACTAATCAGGAAATATCTTTTGAATTATCTCATACAAATTAGTTCCGAAATTATGATATAATGGGAAGAAAACTAAAATTGAAATGCGCCTTCAACCACACATACGTCACACACACCCTCCAGATTCTGTACTCTTCTGGGGACGCCCTTGTAACGCCCTTGTACTTCCACCAGATTACTCGTATACTTGTATGGCTCATTCGCGTGGCGCAACACAAAGACCTAAAATCTCAGGGAGCGCTTCCTGTACATACTCAGAGACATAGGTGTGTCAAAACATCGTGGCCTTTAACCCACCTTGTGACCTAGTCTTTTTGCTGAGGTGTGAACATAGAATCAAATATACTGTTTTGTAGGCTGTTTCTTACATGTCTGTTTGGGGAAGAAGGTTCTAAAACTACACACGACACTGAAGGGACAGTACTCTGAAATTACAGAAACGAGCCGCAGAGCTGTGTTTGGGTGAGTGAAGATCTTACTGTCAGAGTTTGGGCTTTTGCACGTGCTGCTCTTTCCTTTTTAAAGTTGTCCTTGTTAAAAATAGTTTGAAATGTTTATATTAATAAGCATCTAACATGACGCAGGGCCATTTGGTTACACAGTTGCAGACACCATTTCACTTTTTATCGTAATGCCTCCAAAATAGTTTAGTAGTTATTACGTTTTTGACGCAAAGACCGCATTGACAAATCAAATCAATCAATCAATCCGTGCTTAGAGCCTCTTGGATCTGCAAGAGATAACAAAAAAAACAATGGGAAAGAAGTGAGAAACATCGGGGAGGCCCACATTGAGAGAGAGATCCACTTGCACGGACGAACAGGATACAGACCCAGGACTCAGAATCAGGGCCGTGTTTGAGATAGGAGCATTTAGACAAAGCATTTGAGAGACACATTTGTACGTACGCTTTATTTATATAGCGCACTTTACAGACCAAGGTCACCCAAATTGCTTTTACAATTGTTGAGAGTTCAGATATTTTTCCATTCTCTCCACGCGGTGATGACAGAAGCGAGACGCAACGACACTGGCGCTTCAAAACCTTAACCAACACCATCCATTCATTCACTCACTCATTACATTCAGACCTATTGCAGATGTATTTTGTGATGTGAGAAACCGGAGCACCAGGAGAAAACCTAACGAACTCAGGGAGAACATGCAAACTCCACACAGAAAGGCCTGGAGGTGGAATCAAACCCAGGACCTTCTCTCTGTGAAACACAAGCTGCGCCACCGTGCCGCCCACAGGTTGCACCAAAACATACCGTTACTAACATGGAGGCGGCTAAAAGCAACTCCAGGTCTGTTTTTCCAACCAAAATATTTGTAAACACTCAAACTTTCTGCATAATCCGTGCGTTTTAAACTTTGGCAAACACTACTTGGCAGCGTTCATCAGTCCAAGCAGCAGGACTGAGAGGATTTGGGATTGGTTTGGGGAAATAATGGCAACAGAAGCTTAGACAGAAATGAATGAGGAGTGGGAATAAGACGAGGAGGACGAGAGGAGGCGAGACAAAGGAAGTATCCCCTCGGCAGCAGTTTCCAGGCAACAAGCTTGTAGTGGATGCTGGTGTGGTTGCCGGGTTGCAGCAGGTTGACGGAGGCGGAGGAGACGAGTGACAGGTGGTTTCAGGCAGCTGCAAGGACCCCACAGCAGTCTCAGCGAGGACCCCAGTGTGAGTGAGTGAGCAGTGTGTGTGTGTGTGTGTGTGAAGGAGTGGACGAGGAGATTGGGTCGCACCCGAAGTTGAGAATGGGGGAAATATTTCTAAAAAAGAAAGGGTCCAAATGTGTAAATATTCTCGATTCCAATACAGAGAAAATTACCATGAATTAAAGCTGGGGTACCTAACTTTTAAACCACAACACAGTTAATGATGTCAAATATTCCATCTAACTAGTTCTCACTCTCCAAACACCTAAAACCAGGTCCAGGTCCAGGAAACAAAACCGTGAAAGAGACTGAAATGAAACTACAATAAGCTCGGGACAAGTCATAATAAACTCTAAATATATTTTAAATTCTGCGTATCCAATTCTTTTGCAATAATTTCTTAACACTAAGACCTCCAGAATTATGAAACTACTAGAACTCCCAGAGGCGTCATTTTGACTGCTCCCATTCAAACCAATGGAATTCTGAGAAATCCTCCAGAAATGTTTAATTTTCCACTTGATCTATTAAAAGAAAGTAACAAATAAAATGTATACCTTGATTCACTTTTACTAAGTGCTAAAACTGTTCAATATAACAGCATGAGGAGAGTAAACGATATGTTGCTATGGTAACAATGGTCTCTTCTCTGGTGGAAAACCAAGCTGACTTGGTTCAGAACCAGTCTCGCACCAGCACCTTACAAAAGGGGCTTTAACTACCATATCAAGTTGGTTATCATGCAATCTACAATATTTACATTTGAATTTTAGTTAATTGAACATTTCAAATAACAAGATAACATTTGTAACAGCCAAAATGTACATGAGCGGAGTAGATACACTTCCAAAACAAACAGCCGTCAAATTGACTCCTGTGGGAGTTCTAGTGTTAAGTGATTTCAGAACTTTTAAAGTCCCGTAGATACATTTCCTATCCGTGTTTCTCATTGTTATAAATACATTTTTAGGCAGTGGAAGATGGCGTCTGATGTATGGCTCACATTATGTAGGTCTGAGAATGTAGGTCAGACGCATGCAGACAAAGTGCTGGTGCCTGTGGCTGAGACTTTGTGTAAATGTAACAATAGTGATAATAGGGTGTTTGGGAGGCCTCTGCTCCACATGTTTAGTTTGGTCAGAAGCGTTTAAGTCTGCATTAGTAGACATCATTTCTCTCTCTCTGTAATTAGAGAGCTCTGAATGTGATCTCTTTTTCATGATGGACCGTGAAGGGCAAACTTTTTAGTAAGAGGGCCACTTTAGCTCGCCAAAATTGTCGCAAATGAGCCCAAAGCTACAATCTGCTAAGGTATTAAGGTGTGTTCATTAACATGCTCTGTCCCAACCAAATAAACAAATAAATAGTAGTAAACAAATAAACGAGTGCCATATTCATCATGTGATACATTTAAAA